TTTTAAATATTATAGTTACGAAAGTAATTTTTTATTATTTCACTATTATATGATAAGGTTATATTATTTATAAAATATCATTAAAAAATATTAACTTTAGTTAATCCCTTGACATCGTGTTTTATTATATTTATAATTAATTATTAGACTAATAAATTCACCTCAAAAAATTTTAACTAAATAGCAATGACTCATTTCAAAACCAAAATCACATTTTAATTTTTAAAATAATATCTATATTTATTATTCGTGATTATAATAATAAAATTAAACATAAAATTTTTCTTATGGTTGCTAGTTTATACAAATTACATATTATTTATTGTATAATATATGGTGTAATATATTCTAGCAGTCTTATGGAAATACGCATAATATTTTTTATTTAGTTTTTCAAGTCATGGTCATAATTGTTTTATATATTATAAGTGAATATGGTTATTTAGAAATAAAATATTTGAAATGATAATTTAACTATTATATAATAATTAAATTTAAAATTGCCATATTATACTAGTAATTGTGTAGTATGTGTCAATATTTCTGTATAAACCTATGTTTCCTTATGTCATTTCTGTTTAAAGTTGGAACATGCAGTTGTGGCTTAAAAACAGGTCAATTTTGTGGTGATAGGGCCCATAAAAATGAACATGATAAATCGCCAATATTAGTGGGAATGTGTTTAAAATCAACGTTATACAGTTGTAACTTTAAAAATGATTACGCCTATTATGTCGAAGATTGCATTGGACAGTGTTATGAGGAACAAAATGGTCAAATAGACGATTGTAGTCCAGGTAAACTATGGTTAATATGCCAAGGATATTATAATTAGTATATTGTCTAATAGATGTGGACAGTTGTATTTGTGGGAAAAAGTTGGGTTATCATTGCGGTCATAGAGCTAATATTGACACAATATTTGGTTCATTTTTGCAAGGTGATTGCGATAACAATTCGTTATATTTTTGTCGCGTGCCATTCAGTATGGCAAAACTTGTAGAGCCTTGTAATAAATGTCTCGATATGGGTATATCATCTGGGTCAGATGAATGTTTCCAAGGTTATTTTTTAAGATTTAACTTAATGAATATTGATTAATAGCTATTTAATTAAATAGAACCAACAACTACAGTTTTACCATGCTCAAGTTTTAGTGAAACAAATTCTACTACAATATCAACTACAAATTTTCCAACAATAGACGGTGACAAACAAAATAATTCACCTATATTGGATAATAAAAACTTATTCTATTCTATGCCCTTATTTATTATATTGTCAATTTTGTAATTTTATTACTTAGCAATAGTGTGACCAACTCAAAACTTAAAATTCCTGGATTTTCATGAAAAAATTTCATAAAATTCCTGGACAATCCAGGACACATGTTTTAAAACCATATTTGCCATATTACATTTTATTTCAGTCCAAAATTAACTTTAAAAATTTAAGTATAGAGATTTTAACTATTTGACTTTAAAACACATAATTCAACTATTAAATTAAGTAATATTTAAAATAAATAAACTAAAATTTGAATTAAATTTTAAAATTAAAATTAATATACTGGAAAATAACACTATAAAATAGATTTTCACATACATGCTTTAATATATCCAACTAGTTATTTATAAACTTATATAGACCATTTAATTAATAGACAACTAATCATTCAAGTAAATAATGTTAATAATTAAATAATATTCTAATAGATCCCTTATTAATAAACATTATATCGATATGTGACTTTAATATAATATAAAGTTTTGTCAAATTTTTAAATGATACATTTTTATACATAATGTAAATGAAACGAGAAATTTAAGCAAGATTTTAATATTAACCCAAAAGTATATTGAGTTGTTATAAATAACAAATTATCATTAATCTATTAAATTCGTCTAAAATATGTAAATCTGTATGATAACATTTCTTTTTGTTCAATTCCTGGACATTACATTGTCCAGGCGAGACCTTGCCCTGGACACTGGACAGATACCCTAATTCCTGGACAGTCCAGGTTAAAACTGGACGGTTGGTCACAGTACTTAGCAAGATGTATAATTATAAAAATATTTTATGCGAACGATTCAATCAAGCAATTTGTATGTAAGGCTACTGAGAATTTTAGTAAACTAGGTGAATTATTTCTATCAAATGAGGAAATACTATCTACATTAGATGCTATAGAATTGATTGGATCTGGTTCCTTTGGTGAAGTTTATAAAGCTAGACACAAATATACAACGAAAAGTTACGCTATTAAAATCACTGAATTACGTGAGTATATTTACAAAATTATTAATAATTGATAATATAATTTAGATATAAATAGGTCCAGCAGCAATTAAAGAATTGCAAATGCTTGCCCAAAGTATATACGTGGTAAAATTGGAATCATTTTGGTCAGAAAATGATAATATTTTCATTCAAATGGAATATTGTCACGAAAATCTTAAAAATATGCTTGATATTCGACATGCCGCATTTAATCGGGAACAATCTGAATTAATGAGCACAATCGAGTATTACATGTTCTCGCAACTATTTTTGGAGTTAATCGAGGCAGTTAACTATTTGAATAAAATGAACCTGGCTGTTATACACCGTGACATATATTATTATTATACGATAGTATTATTTCGAGACGTTTTATTAAGCTTGGTGATTTTGGACTTTCAACGTATCATGCAAGTAGCCAAGAACATACGGAGGGTGTTGGTGCCCCGGCTTATACTCCCTATGAAGTTTATAATGGTATATATGGTTTAGAGCATAGACGTTCAAAATTTTTAAAATCCCCAAAATAGTGTTTTATAATAATATTAAAATTTTTACTATTCAAAACACTAATATTTTCTGATTTAAATGTGAATAAGGTTTGTATTGAAAACATTTTTATTTATTAAACAAAAACTGATATATAAATGATTAAAATACAAATTCGTAAGAGATTCCTAAACATACAATAAAAATATTTGAGAAAGTAAGTCATATATGAAAAACTAAGTAATATTCATGAGTATTTAACTAAATGCTACCTTAATCTTTAATGTATACTATAAACTTTAAAATACTAGTGTTGTGTATACTCAGCCTAAATAATAATATATTGTAAATGCATACATCACTAGTTGGTCTCTGGAAACCATATCTGTGCGTCTAAGCATTACACACTAAAGAATTTAAAAATTCTCTATTAGTAATAACATGAGTTGAATTTGACACTTTCTAAACTATTCTAGTGCACTGGTATTATATATTTCTTATATTATATTTATTGTATGCGATTCTTGTCGTTTGGTTTGGTTTGGTTCATAAATTAAATGAAAAATATTTTAGTTACTAAATACTAAAATACTAATTGTGTTTAAACAGATTTGCTTGCTCACAATGCGTGAAAAGAGATGTACTAACTGTGGGCCACTTTTTGATCACTTGATTGCAAAATTCAATTCAAAACTCAATTAAAAATCGATTTAAAATTCGTTGACTTAACAAACAAATTTGTGTTTGAATTTTATTCTAATAGTTTTCCAATATTTGCCTATATCAATATATAAAACATTTAAGTTATATATAAATAATTTATCCAGTAAATATATTCGTTTATTTTCGACAATTGTAAGATTATTTGATTATTATTATTATATTAAAATGGTTTATTGATACAACCTGCAGTATAAGCAGCAAGATAAATATATTTGAAATTAAACAGAGAATTAATTATGAATTGTATGAAAATATTTTTAAAAAAATTTATTTACGATCACAGTTATAATTTATAAGCGTAACAGATAATTTAATAAAGTTATATAAAAGTGTTATAAGAAAATGGGAGCTAAAAGTGATTTTGAGTGGGTTTACACCGACGAACCTCATGCCACCCGACGTACACTGATCCTGGCCAAATATCCACAAATCAAACAACTAATGATACCCGACCCTAACCTCAAATGGTCGACCATTGCGACGGTTGCCATACAGTTGGTCTCGTTTTACATGTTAAGAGATGTGACCTCTTTCTGGCAATTATTTCTAATCGGCTTTTGTTTCGGTGGAGTCCTTAATATATCGCTGCAGTTGGCTATCCACGAGATTGTACACAACCACGCGTTTGGTCCGTCCAGACCATTGGCCACCAAAATACTCGCGATAATCGCCAATTTGCCGATTGGTGTGCCTGCAGCAGGGTCGTTCAAAAAACTACATCTAATTCATCACAGATATCAAGGCGACGATGTACTCGACGCCGACATCCCCTCCAAGTTTGAGGCCGTGCTCTTCAACACGACGTTTACTAAGTTCCTGTGGGTTGTATTGCATCCATTCTTCTATGTCTTGCGACCACTCTTTTCTCAGCCAAAGTTTGTTTTAAATCCCAGTCCCGTAGAGTTGGCCAATATTGCCATACAATTCACTTTCGACTATTTGGTGGGCCAGTGGTTGGGCTGGCATATCGTGGCTTATATGATAGGATCAACGCTGTTATGTATGGGAGTGCACCCCATGGGTGGACATCACTTATCTGAGCACTTCATTATTCCTAATGAGTGCATCGATATGTTTGAAAATAATAACATAAATCAACTCCAAAGGGACGACTACTCGAAACTCATACCTGAGACCTACTCCTATTACGGACCACTCAATGCGCTCGTGTATAATGTGGGCTATCATGTGGAGCACCACGACTTCCCATCGATTCCCGGCTCACTTTTGCCTAGAGTTCGTGAAATAGCGCCGGAGTTTTACAATTCGCTGCCTTCCTATAGGTCATGGGTTTACGTCATCTGGAAGTATATCACTGACGACAGAGTTGGGCCCTATTCTCGAGTTAAACGACCGCATCGTTTCGCAAAACACGACCAAAAGACTGTGGATTTTATTAATGAAATCAAATCTGAATTTAAATAATATGACATATATTTTGTTGCAAATTATTTAAGTTTATTTATGTTAAGTTAGCATCCTTTCTTACTACGAAGATTTAGAATAATTATGTCTTATTTATTCAAAAGAGTCACTAAATATGTCTTGGTCAGTATATAAAATAAGTTTTAATTTAGTAAAATTCATGGTGAATATGGGACAAACATACAGGTCTTTAGTTTATTAAGGTCTATGGTTAGATAAGTGGTCAATGAAGTCAAAGTTGAGAAGTTGACCATTATTAAATCTACAGTATGTACTGTATTGCATTTATACTATTTATGGACATTATAAATTCAGTGGTCAAACATTGCACACTAAAGAATTTTCTATTAGTAATCAATGATTACTAATAATATGAGTTGAATTTTACACTTTCTAAACTATTCTAGTGCACTGGTATTAATAATATCGTATTATATATTTCTTATATTATATTGATTGTATGCGATTCTTGTCATTAGGTTTGGTTTTGTTCATAAATTTAATGAAAAATATTTTAATTACTAAATACTAATTGTGTTTAAACAATTTAAACAGTAGTGTGACGAGTGATGTACTTATTTTGAAGAATTGATCGCATAATTCAACTAAATTATTATAGTTTTTAAAATTGTTGACACTTTTCCTATTTGTGTCTGACGTTTAATTTCACTAGTTATACAATTTTGTATGTTAATAACAATATTATAAAACAATCAAGTGATGTATAAATTTATTGAGTAAAAACATTATTTAATTTGAACAACTACTGGATTGTTTAATTAATTATTATAATAAAATATTTAAAATGTTGGTATTTTAAATTGTTTGCAAAATACCTAATGATATTTTGAAGTGAAATACTTTGTAAAACATTTTAAAGCATCTTACAATCACAGTTATTTCGCAGTTATATTAACATAACAGGTATTAATTTTAGTAACAAGTTATACAAAAAAAAGTTATATAAAAATGGGAACCAAAAGAGATTTTGAATGGGTTTACACGGATGAACCTCATGCCACCCGTCGGTCACTAATTTTGGCAAAATATCCACAAATAAAGCAATTAATGAGAGCCGACCCTAACATCAAATGGACAGCCAGTGTCACTGCAATCATACAATTGATTTCGTTTTATATGTTAAGAGATGTGACCTCTTTCTGGCAATTGTTTCTTATGGCCTATTGTTTCGGTGGAGTCCTCAACAAATCACTGCTGACGGCCGTCCACGAGATCATACATAACCACGCGTTTGGACCCTCGAGACCAATGGCCACCAAAGTGTTGGCAGTGGTAATCACTTTGCCGACGGGTCTCCCTATATTTGGCTCATTTAAGAAGTACCACTTACTTCACCACCGATATCAAGGCGATGACATACTCGACACCGATATTCCCTCCTATTTAGAAATCAAGTTCTTCAGCACACCTGTGACTAAGCTTTTTTGGATGATTTTCCAGCCGGCCTTTTATG